TTATTATGGGCTAGGTCCGAAAATTAGGCCTAAAACCGGGTAGTTTGAACCAGAATATTATTCATTTTCCCGGACCCGAGAAATAGGAACACGTTGTTTAACTAGTCCTATGTAAGCAAAATAACTACCAAAAATAAGACTAGTATTTAAACAAAACTATATCTTTTTAAATATTTTTCAAGGTTTAAAATAGCTACAAAATATTAATAAAACTATTTTTTGTAATTTTCGTGTTTTTAAATATTAAGATAAAATATGAGGTAATATTTTTGTATTTTTTCAAAGTTAAAAATGACTATAAAACCTTAATAGAACTATATTTTTTGTAATTTTCGAAATTATATAAAGTACAAAAATAAAGTGCAATTTTTTTTTGTATTTTTCAAGTTTATGAGAAATACATAAACTAAAATTTATATATATATTTTTTGAAATTTTCTTTTTGCAACGAAATAAAGTAAAAATAGTTAAAATAGCTATACTAGACCCAATTTCACATATTCACGCTAAAAATGTGAAAATTCTCGGGGAGGGTCAAAAATCACGTGCTTACAATTGCGATTACCAAATTCAGCTACCCTAAATTCTTTTTATACACGAACACGACAAAGGCTATGCGATTGCCAACCTCTGCTTGATCGACATACGCAAACGCGAGCTCAGCTCCGCGAACGCGAAGGCAAATCCGTCATGCCTCCAACCAATGCCTTGCGCGATCGCGTACTTGCCCTTGCGATCGCAAGAAACAACCTCGCCAGCTCCCAGTCAGTACTACGCGATCACGTGTCTATCTACGCGATCGCGATGAGCAACCCAAACACCAGAAACTAACAATCATAAACAAAGGATATATGGTCTGAAACTACCCCGAAACATACACGAGGCCCTCGAGACCCCGTCCAATTGCACCAACCAGTTCCAAAACACATTACGAACTTAGTTGAGCCTTCAAATCACATCAAACACCGCCGAATTCATGGATTGCACCTCACTCCGAGCTTAATGAACTTTAGAATTTTCAACTTCTACATTCAATGGCGAAACCTATCAAATCACGTTCGATTGACCTCAAATTTTGTACACAAGTCATATTTGATATTACGGACCTACTCCAACTTCCAGAATCGGATTCCGACCCCGATATCAAAAAGTCCACTTCCGGTCAAACTCCTCAAAAACCTTCAAATTTCTATCTTTAGCCAAATGGCTCCAACATGACCCACTGACCTCCGAATTCACTTCCGATCGCACTTCCAACACCAGAATCACCATACAGAGCTATTCCCAGACTCGAAATCCCAAATGAACATTGATAACACTGAAATGCACTTCAACCCAAACTTATAAAATTCTTCCAAAAATGCTAACTTTCACAATAGGTGCCGAAATATTTTTGGGTCTTTCAAAACCCGATATGGACATACGCCCAAGTCCGAAATCATCATACGAACCTGTTGGAACCTTTGAATCCTGATTTCGAGGTCGTTTACTCAAAAATCTAATCTTAGTCAATTCTTTTAACTTAAAGCTTCCAAAATGAGAATTCTCTTTCCAAATCAACTCCGAACTTCCCGAAATTCAATTCCGATCACACATGCAAGTCATTATACTTGAAGTGAAGCTACTCAGGGCTTCAAACTGTTGAACGACGAGCTAGAGCTCAAAACGACTGATCGGATCGTTACAGATGAGTTAAGTGACTGTTGCCTTGAGAGGCTGTACTTGCTTTTAAATTATTGTTGCACTTAGTTGTTATCTGTTATTGTTGTGCAATTTTTGAAAGATTCATATCTGGTTTACTTGAGCTCGAATTGATTTGACTTAAACTGCCGAATTTGAAAGCATGTTCACTCTTTACTGAAAACTTTTGAAGTGAACTGTATTTACATAGCTCGTCACTACTTCTCAGTTCCCTATTTATTTCTGTTAGTTACTGAGTTGGTTGTACTTACGCTATACCCCTGCACTTCATGTGCAGATCCAGGTGTGTCCAATCACAGAGGGTGTTGATCTCGAGTGTAGCTGATTATCGGAGACTTACGAGGTAGTTGTCGGCGCCCACAGTCATGTCTCTCCTTTCTTATTATATTTTCTCTCTTGTATTGGCATTTAGCACAGATTGTTGTACACCCTCTTTCTAGACTGGTTGTTAGATGTTTATGGTTTAGTGACATCCCGATGTCGGGCTATTATTCTGCACTTGTATTTTGGGTTTTACCTTGTTGTTATGTAAACCTACGGTTAATTTAATTGCCTTAACTAATTTCTGTCATATATTGAAAGCATATTGAAAGTGTCAACTTGGCTAGTTGCACGATAGGTGCCATTACGACGGGTTAGGTATTTGGGTCGTGACAACATGTTTCGGTTGTGAGCACGTAATTTTGCCCTAATACAAATTATTCCTCAAAAATATTGCAAAATAGTTTTTTAATTATTTCATAGAATTTCAGGAATTTTTCTTTATTTTTATCCAACTTGTTTTGCATTTATTTGCATATATTTAGAAATGTTTTAAACCATAAAAATCATAAAAGTATTCCATTATTCATTTCATAACATTTTAGATTTAATTGCATTTAGGATTTAATTACATAATTAAATGCATTATCAAACAAAAATCACAAAAAAATATATAATAGTTATTGTTATATTTTTAGTTTTTAGTTTTAAATTAGCAATTCTCTTTCATTAGTTTACATTGTTAAGTTAATTAACTAGTTGTCAGATTAAGTAGTGAAGAAATTAATTTTGCAATTTTAGTTTTATGATAGTTTAATTAGTGATTTTAAAAATTGAAAGGAAGGAAACAAGGAGAAAGGGTCTGTCTTGAGACGGATTAGGGCAATTTGTTGAAGGAATTTTTACCCCTATAGTAAAGGTTGATACCTTATTTATTTTAAATAAATACTCTTTTAAAAAATTATATTCCATATCTACCTTTTGATTTTTATAGCCAAATATCTATTTATGGTTACCTCCTACCCTTAAGCCATAAAATACTCTTTGTATTATTTTTCTCTCTCATTCTTTCAGATTTTTGCCGCTTTTTTCTCCTCTTTTTCTTCCTTGTTATTTCCTTGTGCGCCGCCAAAAAACCTATAAGCTTTCTCTTTCTTCTTGCTTTTTACTTTCAGAAAATCAGAAAAAGTCCCAAATTCAAAAAATGGCATCTTTCGCAAAGGCACCACCGGAGAACGAAGCGGCAGGAGCAAAGATTTTCAAGACCAAGTGTGCTCCAAATTTTAAGAGTTCCGAGTCAGAATCACGGCCCTCTTAACGAGACAACATTAGGGTTGTTCTTGAACAAAGACGACGGAGTTTGACGCTGAGCAACTTGAAAGAGTTGAGGGTATTTGCTCGACGACGGATTCACGAGAAACTAGGGTTTGTTCTTGAACAAAAACGACGGAGTTTGGGGCTGAGCAACTTGATTTTTTGTTAATATATTTCAATGTATTTTCAACGTATCACACTGTATTTTCATGTATTTAATTGTATTCATTGTCTTTTTTTTCATTGTAATTCAATGTATCTCGCTGTATTACATGTATTTCATTGTATTCACTATCTTTTTTTCATTGTATTTCAATGTATCTCGCTGTATTCTATGTATTTTATTGTATTCAGTGTCTCGCTATATGCAATGAATGTATTCATATATTTTTTAATTAATATAATTTATGTATTCAGATGTATTATATAATTTTTCTGAAAATTGCTATGTTTTTGAGGTATTTTTTGGTTGAGAATCTTTTTTATAACTGGAAATACAAAATTTGTGTGTTATAATTGAGTATGTTGAGTTATACTAGGAGTCTATTATGTTAATTGATTCACTTTCCGTTTAAAAACAGTGTAATCCCCTGTTTCACGCCGTAAATACAGTCGAATACAATAATCTGTCCAGCTGTAATCCCATGTTTCACGCCATGAATATAGTCGAATACATTCGAATACAACAACTGATTAGTTGGACTTCCCTGATTCACGCATATTTTTGCTACCGTATTCATTCACGCCTATTTTTGCTATTGTATTCATGAATACAGTAGCTTAAATACATCTAAACATCTTATAACAACATAGAACGTATCTACAATCCGTAATATAGCAAATGGTATCTATAGATAGCTAATTACCACTAAAAGATAGTGTTTTATGAAAATTTCTCTTTGTTAAATGGCTAAATTGCCAAAAGCTCCACATCACCTAGCCCAATCCCCACCTCCGCCACGCCAAGCCCCAAAGGCCCCAAACGACACTGTTTCCCCCATTCAATCCTAAGCACTCCCATTTCCCGTTTCATTATGAAAATTTTAATTGTAAAATAAAACTCATAATTCTAATTTGAAAATAAAAGGAGAAAAAAATAATTTTTTTTACGTATAATACAAAATAACAACTATTAAAAATATCAGTAGATTTTTTAACAAAATAATAAAAGGTTTTTTTTTTTTTTTTAACTTTAAATGAATTCGAAAATCATAATTTTCTAATAAATGTTATATTATTTTAATTACATTGAAAAATAATTATAAATATTAAAGTATTTATATCTAAATACTTAAACCAAATAATGAAAAAAAGAAATAGGAAAACAAATTGTTGTTGGAAGGAATCGACCCCTTGACTTTCAAGGCCAAAACCAACTTCACACCTAGCTTTTAACCATTACACCACCCAGCACTCTACTTTTCATTTGGTGCACTAGATTCTATTTATCTGCTTTTCTTGCGCTTTCAAAGGGCGTTATATATAAAATTCAACTCGAAAAAAGATACTAAAATAGGACAGCTGTTCATTTTGTTTTAAAAAGAAGATGCCCTCTCACCTAATTTTTAGCAGAAAGATGGAAAATTCTGCATTTTTTAAAGAGAGTTGACTCCCCTCATTTTGGCACTGATTTTTGCTGCTGTTGAGTGTTCATTTGCTGGTGGATCTGCTGATTCCAGTTATTGTTCAAGGTTAGATACACAACTATGTACTTGTACGGTTTTATATTTTAGCCTTCTTTCATGAAATTCAAGTGTAGTGTTGTAATATTCCTTTGGTTAATTGTTTATATAGGTTTCAGTGTGTTGTGAAATGTTTGAAAAATGCTGAAGTGATAAATAATAACCCATTGTTATTTATCCCACACTGGGGGGTCAGACTTTACCCCTAACTTGTGAGGTGTAAGTTCAATTATCCATTTTGTATAATTTTGATCCGTAAGTTTGGGTATCTGAAATTGTATCTGCTTGTATAATTTAAAAAAAAAAAGTATTTTTAAAAGCTTCAAACATGCTATTAGTCTCACAAATTGTGTGTCCGTTACTAGTTGTAGTTTCTTGTGCACATAGGCGGAGCCAGGATCTGAAATTTCTGGGTTCGGGATTTTAGCCTTTTTAAGTTATTGGGTTCCAAAGTAATAATTTGAACATATTAAATATATTTCTTAAGACAAATATAGAGTTTGGACCAAAGTTATTGGGCCGCGCCTCGGTCTCTGGCTCCGCCCCTGCTTATGCACAATGAAACTCTAATGCTTTGGAGTTTGGATGATAGGGGCAACAACGTAAAACTAAAACACTTGCTCGAGTTCACCAGCAGCTAAATCATTGAATAATGTGACATAAGATAAATGATTATTTATGTATATACATATACAGCTAGCTGGCATTGATAATTTAAAATTCATAGTGGACAATATTATATTACATTTGGCAATAATTGAGAGTTGTTAAGTAGGTCTCATTCATTCCAAATGGTTCTTTTACAAAGTCTAACTGGATTGTTTGCACTCATTATTTTTCACAAATCTATGTTGTTGCTCTTACTAATGTTAGGCATGCATACTGCTGTTTGACATCAATAGATCAAGCTAATTAGGATGGAGGATGTCAACATTGATGAGAATGCTCCAACCCCTACACCAACTACTCAAGTAACTGAAGAGGAACCTGTGGGGCTTGAGGATGATGCTGACAAGATAATTAAGCTACTGACCAGAGGAATAAGGGAACGGGATGTTGTCTCGATTTTTGGCATGCCTGGTCTCGGAAAGACTACTTTGGCGAAAAAAATATTCAAAGATTCTTCTGTTGTTTCTCACTTTGATGTTCGAGCTTGGGTTACAATTTCGCAATCATATGATGTGAGAGAGCTGTTGAGGAATATCTATAAGCAAGTGACAGGTGTTAAGTACGATGATGGGGAGAGTGACATAGCCGATGTGTTGCGCAAGTGTTTAATGGGCAAAAGATATCTCATTGTCTTGGATGATGTATGGGAAGTTGATGCTTGGGATGAGTTAAGATTATGTTTTCCAATTGGTAAACAAGGAAACAGAATCATGTTAACAACT